CAGCGAATGCGCCCAGCAGTAATAAACGCGCGGCTGAAATACGATATTAAAATCTTGAATGTGCCGTATGATTTAATTATGTTTTAGGATTTACAAGTGCTTTTTCATTTGGTGTTTATAATTGTACTGCATCACAAGGCAGTACGTAAGTGAAAAAATTTCACATGTGAGATTGTCTTGTATATATTTTTGCTTTCTTTGATAAACATTATTAATAAACACGCAAATTTTAATTAGTGAGACGCAATGTTAAATGTCACCTGCATGTCATTGTCATTGCCCTTTAACCCCTGGTCTAATTGGCCGCTTTTGAAAATGTTGATCATGACGAACCGCACTTTTGTGTTTTAAAAACGAGTTACGATAAAATGCGGATACGGACGGACGGATGAATGACGGACGGATGGACGGATGGCGACGGACGGACCGGACGGATAACATATATATGTCATTATATAGTCTGCGCGCAGCCGCGCAGGGTAGTTAGTGGCTTACATCTTCGCTGGTTGTTATACTTTAAAATAATTTTGTATTTACCGAGAAATCAATATTCCGAGTATATACAGTAAATATATAAACTGGGATGTCACACTGATAGTTTGTTTACATTTGCTGGAGCATCAAATCTTATGTTTAACCACGGTGGTTTAACCCATTAGCTGGCAATGCGCCAGTCCCTTGTCCAGCGCCAGAAAATCTTACTCGTCAGGGGTACAGGGTACTGCCAGTAAATGGGTTAACAAACCTATCTGCCAATGTCTCTTGTTAATCCATCAGCACAGTAATTACTTTAGTATTTACCCTGTCCAACGCCAGACGATTTTTAATACTCAGTCAGTGGTAGGGCCGTGCTGTCAACAAATGGGTTAACAAGGATAACAATAGCCTGCTTAGCGGCTATCAGAGAAAGGACAAAAATAGGATGTTTCTGAAGGACTCGTTCAACACCCTATAGTTTGTCTTTTGCTGTCAAAGGCAGCATTACTGCCCTGTGGGTAACCTAGTAATAATGTTAGCAGACAATGCGGCGCAAAGTTCAAATTGCGCCAAAATCTGATCTGAAGAAAGAGTGCATTCTGCCTGACAATCGTGTGTATGGATTCAGGATGGAAATCAAGATCGAACAAAGTGCATGGCAATATTTTGATGGGTGCTTATGAAAGAGTGATGCGAAGTATTTTCAATCAGTAAGGTTAGGTAATAGTCAAAAAGCTGTAGGTATCGCACCACTTAATCACTGAGTTATTATTTGCTTTAGTATACAGTATGCTAGAGTATGCGCCACTCAGGTGCTTTAAGCCTGTTTTCCACTAGGCGGAATTTTGCGCGCGGAGCGGAGTTTCTCTTTGTCTTTTCTAATTAGTTCCACCCAACAGGGTGGACTTTTGTCGACGCTGCATAAAAATAGTGCGGGCTGGTGAGCTTTTTCCCGCAAATTTAGCTTTTTGTTGTTTTGCTTACAATTTCTAAGGATGTTGAAGTTTTCTGCATTGTGATTCACTGGTTTTTGAAAGCATCGGGGATTTTTCTCTGGAATTAACTTGCAGGCTAACTCTTCAATAACCTAATGACTGTTTTTAAAGCAAAGCAATTGAAAGAAAAACTTATATTTTCATACGAAGAAGATGAGTGGCGACATTTATGTTGTGCTGTTTTGAGCAGATGCTTCGAAGAACATGATATGATCGGACCTTGTATCTTAAAAGTGTACTTGGAACAGCCGAACAAAGTGGTAAATTGTGTTACCCGGTGTGTTGGGCATCATAATTCACAGGAATAGTACACAGTGGCGTTTAAGCTGGCTATGAAATATTGTGAATACTTCGTCGAGTTCTCTACCGCCATGTGACCTGTAGTTTAATGTGGCACGCGTCTTTGAAAGGGCTTTACTTGACTTTAATCGACGTGTAAGGTATAACTTAGGTAAGCCAACATTTCTTTGTAATGCAAGCTACATTTTCATATCTTTAATGTGTGAATATTTTTAATTTTGTAAAAAAATAAGCGCCATATGTTGTTGGAGAAAGTATCGAGTGCTTCATAATAACGCTCAGATCTTGTATACAGATATTCGTATTTTATTCAAAATCTGCCCTTGATCACCACTTTTTTTATTCTTTTATGTTAAAGTATACATAATCCTTGACTTAAAAACACGATGATCTACTCGAGGAAAATTGGGCAAAGGGGCGATCTTTGCAGAGAAACTTGACTGTTCGGTGAAATTGGTAGTTGAGAGGCCCTATTTTCATTGTAGTGTTTCGTGGCAATTTGTTGGCCGATTTCTAGTTTATATTGTAGAACGAGTTCCTAGTGAATTAAATTAATTGTCTATCGTCTACAGAGTAGTAATAAACGCGTCTCCTTTTTGTTGACGGATGTTGAATTTATTTTAGACTCTTCTTCATAAACAAGGACTACACTACCGAGTACTAAATCACTGTTTGCAAAGAAATGAGCCTATATCACCACAAAAATTCAAGCTTATTTTTAGAGACAAATAGTTTCTCCATGCATAGAAGTAGTTTTTATGTAGTGAAAAATAGGGCAAGTACGAATTTAAAGAAGGTCAATTTAGTTGTATATCTCACTTCGAAAAGGATATACATATTAAAAACAGGTATATTTGCACTGCAAAATTAAACTGCTGCAACAAAGTTTTTATTTCTACTTTCACGTTCTTATTCCTAAGCAAACACTTCTAAGTTGGAAATGCCTAAAATTGTGAGCGTAGAAACACTAAAGAAACAAGAAAACGACTTCATAACACGAGTAGTTTTTGCAAATTTGATGTTTGTTTTTATAATTCAGTCACGCGATTAACCCGCGCTCACGTGCACTCCACGCTTACGTTTCTCGCGCATGCGTAGACGGAAGTCCACCCTGTTGTTCCACCCGAGAAATCACAAGACAAAGAAAAATTCCTCTCCGCGCGCAAAATTCCGCCTAGTGGAAAACCGGCTTTAATGATCGGGTCAAAAAGTTAGTAGTCTCCAGTGCTCTTGGCGTAAGTAGCGAAATCAGGCGTAAAATTTGGTGAGCACTATATCATAGACAAGATACGTACAAATCTGAAACTGCAATGCATACAAGTCAGCGGTATTCCATTTTTAAAATTCAAATAAATTAGTGCGCGAAATTGGAAAAAATGCGCGAAACCAAAGCAATATGGCTTCCATCGAAGAGTGACCGAGTGCTTGTTTGCGCTTCACAAGCAGAAATGCTTGACAAATTTGAAGAGTACAAAATAAAATTAAACAAGTAGTGGTTGGAGGTGTATCAAATCAAATGCACTTTTTGGTAAGTGAACTAATTTCAATATGTAAATTTGTCTTATAAATATTCATACAAATACCGTGTGTGCAATATTTTAATATGGAAGATCCAAATTATGCATACATAAAACCTTTATCGATTTACTGCAGTACTACACTCATATTAAAATAGTATGTGCTTTAGAATTATATAGTAAATCTTAATACTGGATAAAAACCTTTCATATAGGGGACTACTCAATAATAATGGGGGGCAGCAGGGGGGGCGGGCGGTGGCTGATAGATACCAAATATTGAACATTTTTTAGAGCTGCCCCAATATCGCAAGACCTTTATTTTGAAGATGCCCCCACCTTCATTTACAAATTTAGGACCCCCCCCTCCAACATTTAAATTGTTACTTAGTTGGTGTAAAATAGGTAATGGTACAAGTACTGGTGTAAGACATTGTGTAGCCTAAATAATAAGAGAACCAGTACTCAAAATGTTTGTAGTTACTCCGACTCCTATCATGAACTGCATATACGTAATAGACCATGGAAATTACGATTATAGGAACTAAAAAAGGTGAAATATTTTCCAATATGATAAAGGCAAGAGATCGAAAATGAGTAGGAAAGTATTCAAAATTTGGGGTCGCCCCTTGTCACATATTTTGAAGCCACCCTCAAATCAGGCAAAAATTAGTTGAAGCCCCCCTTTACTCACCCCCCCTCCCACCCTCCAAGTGGCATAATGCTCACTAGGGTTAGTTCAAAAACCAAGGGCCCCCGACAGTTAGGGCCCCCCATCAGCCACGGCCTATCACCCAGAAAATTAGACTGAAAACGTAAAAAATGCAGGTTACGAATCGATGGAAAAATACAAAATTAATAATGCTAAATAATAAACCCTCCATCGACGATGGTATTCCATCTCAAATAGAACAAAAGTTATTCTTAAAAGTTAATTGTTACATGTGTTGGAGACTGTTATTGTTATTGTTATAGACATAGAATTTTCCATTCTACTGATAAATATTCAATATAAAGATAAGATCTTAGTCAAACAATAACAGTCAATAGGGGGCACACCAAGGGGGCCCCCTCTTCCTACATTATGCCACTGGCCCCCCTCCCTGCCTCCCATTATTAATAACCGGTGGTCCTTAATCATTCATTATATACATTTCATACAATTGTTAATTAATATATACATCACACTATAAACAGAAAGTCAGAAACAAGTGCTAATACTAAATGGTAGAAATACACAATAATGGAAAAAGGCTTTCAGTCAATTATCTGCCAGTATGATATTTGTATGCCAGTATATGATGTTAAGATGTATCATCTTAGGCCCTGTTCATATGAGCCAGACTAGCCTGCCTTGCCAGAATAGAAATTGTTATCATATGAGTCAGGATATTTGCAAACCAAGACACTGAAGATAAGCCTGGCTAACTAGGCCAGCTCGAGTCATCTAATGAGTAATGTCCATTTCATGTACTATATATACATATAATCACTGCATAATCTGCAATAGCACAACATATTTCAACTTTTCATGCACTTAATAATATTAACAACATGTTAAAAACAGTTGACTAGGATGTCAAAGGTTAGGTGGATGCATTCTTTGGAGGCAACAAACCCAATAATTATTAACCCAACAATTATTAACCCAACAATTTGTAACAAATATTTTATTAATTGACAACAATTATTTTATTATTAAATATTGATTATTTTAACAATTATTTTATTAAAATATTGATTCTCTTCATTGCTGAAATCTAACATTGATCATGTTATGGATGAAACTTGAAGGGGTGTGTGTGTGTGTGTGTGTGTGGGGGGTCACCCCCCCCCCCCCTAAAGCTGGATTGGCAGGGCAAATCATCTGGATTGGCAGGGCAATGAAAGGTTTTAAATGGTAGAATGTAGAGTTATTAAGTAGCTTCCAGGGCTTGCCAACTTTTTTAGGAGAAATAGTGCCCCCAAAAAATGTTTGCCGCAGGGCATCATTGCCTTTCGCAGGGCAATTCTAACAGACACCCCCCCAATTGAAATGGGCTAGTTTCGCCCCTGCAGGCAAAGAAGCATCCACCTAGCCTTTGACACCCTAGTTGTTAATATTAAATCGACATTAACTGGTAATGTACTGGCAATGTGAATGTGCCCAAATTATGTCTGTCTAACGCCAGACGATTAATTACTCACTCGAGTCAAACAGTACCGTTCGAAAGGTTGCTTCTGATTGGCTCTCGAGCTAAGTTCGGTGGTCGTGGTGGTCGGCCAATGATATTGCCATCAATTTAACTTATTAATAATTATTGGAGTTGCATTGTTAGAACTGACACCGATTGAGTTTAACTATTATCTATTCAGGATGTAATAGAGTGTTATAATTGACAATAGATAAGATTAAGATAAGATAGCATATAACTATAAGATCTATTCACATTGTGCATAGGGTGGCAGCATTATATTGACTATTGAGGCATTATACATGGCATATACGCAGTATACGCGGTGTATACTGTGGTTGCAGTGGCCGTGGTGGTCGTGGTGGTCGTAATATACTGAGGTATTATACGTTGTATATATACGCAGTATACACGGTGTATACGGTGGTTGCAGTGGCCGTGGTGGTCGTGGTGGTCGTAATATACTGAGGTATTATACGTTGTATATATACGCAGTATACACGGTGTATACGGTGGTGGCAGTGGTCGTGGTGGCCGTGGTGGTCGTAATATACTGAGGTATTATACGTTGTATATATACGCATTATACACGGTGTATGCGGTGGTGGCAGTGGTCGTGGTGGTCGTGGTGGTCGTAATATACTGAGGTATTATACGTTGTATATATACGCAGTATACACGGTGTATACGGTGATGGCAGTGGTCGTGGTGGCCGTGGTGGTCGTGGTGGCCGTAATATACTGAGGTATTATACGTTGTATATATACGCAGCATACACGGTGTATACGGTGGTGGCAGTGGTCGTGGTGGCCGTGGTGGTCGTAATATACTGAGGTATTATACGTTGTATATATACGCAGTATACACGGTGTATACGGTGGTGGCAGTGGTCGTGGTGGCCGTGGTGGCCGTGGTGGTCGTAATATACTGAGGTATTATACGTTGTATATATACGCAGTATACACAGTGTATACGGTAGTGACAGTGGCCGTGGTGGCCGCGGTGGCCGTGGTGGCCGTGGTGGCCGTAATATACTGAGGTATTATACGTTGTATATATACGCAGTATACACGGTGTATACGGTGGTGGCAGTGGTCGTGGTGGTCGTGGTGGCCGTGGTGGTCGTAATATATTGAGGTATTATACGTTGTATATATACGCAGTATACACGGTGGATACGGCGGTTGCAGTGGTCGTAATATATTGAGGCATTATACGTTGTATATATACGCAGTGGTCGTGGTGGCCATTGAAACAAAATAAACGCCGGTGAACTAAAATATTACATACATACATACACGCACAGACTTTATTTTCTCATGCTGACCGCAACAACCGGCTAATTTCAATGAGAGGCTTGAATATAAGCTATTTACAAAACATTATTTACATTGCCAAATTGCATGGCTATTTTATTTCAAAATCGTTTTGAATCAGCAATTTTTGAATCACGGGGAATATTATTCGAATGTGCATGAGGCTCCTTTCGGTTATAATTGAAGCACACCTCTTGCCGAAGCCGAAATGCCGAATTATTTCTTCGGAATACGAAGAGCTAAATCAGTTCCTATATTTCTGAAATTGTAAGTATTTGCTCTTTCCTTATTGGAAATAAAAACTGCTTTTATACACAGCAAAAAATCAATTTCTTAAGAAAAATTATTTTCTTAATTTAAGAAAATATTTTCTTAAAATGAGAAACTTATTTCTTAAGAAAACTTCTTTTCTTAATTTAAGAAAATGTTTTCTCAAAATGAGAAAATCATTTCTTAAGACAAAAATTATTCTTAATTTAAGAAAACTGTTTTCCTAAAATGAGAAAATTATTTCTCAAGAAAAATTACTTCTTGATTTAAGATAACTGTTCTCTTAAAATGAGAAAATTATTTCTTAAAAAATATTTCTTGATTTAAGATTCCGTTTTCTTAAAATAAGAAAATTATTTCTGAAGAAAAATACTTTGTATATAATATAGTCAATTCCACCATGGATTTTAAAACAACTATATTTATTTTATTATCCATGATTCCACATATAAATGTTGTCTTAAAATGATACGTTATTCGTCTAACTGCATGCATGCTTTATTAAAACGAACCTCGTTTTTCAACATAACTCATAAGACGTTTTCTCTTGAAAATATATACATTAATTAACCGTTTCTTGATTGATGGAATGATTAATTTCCTCAATGCAGATTATCTTTCTCAAAATAAGGAAGTTGTTTTTGCAATATTCTTGAATTAAGTACAAATTGCACCATGCATGCACATGCATATTACGATTTTTAATCGTTAGGGAGCATTCATTTTTTAGCTGGGGGGGTGGGCCGGAGGAATTTGGGGGTGGGTCAGCCAATTTTGACATGCTTCAAAGGGGTGGGTCTTTTTATAGTTTTGTTATAAATGGAGGGGGTCATAAAAATAATCAGTGAAAAAATCACCAATATGATTTTATTGAATTTGGAAATATTTGGATCAAGAATGGTAAAAAGGTTTAGAATCTATCAACTATCTCGTCATCTATAACAATGAAGCAAAATTCATTTGACGCTCTGTTCACACAGTCCATAGGAAAACATTTCCATGACGTTCGTCAATTGACCTCGTTTTTGTGTGAAAACATCAATGAAGAAAACGCAGGACCGTAGCATGATTTCAAAATCATGCATGATTTCAAGGTCTGCATGACTTCAAAATCATGCAGAACTTGATCAATTTTAAGCTTTATTAATTTTAAGCGGCTACATTATCCATGAACAACTGCAAAGAATGAAGATAGTACCCACAGTTTCCTGCAACTTATCCTAGTTATCCAATATATAATAAATTAAATACGCCTTCGCTCATTTAGTACTACCAAATTGTCAATTTTGACATACTAAAACGCTGTTTTCTGACCATCAGAATTCTGTCAAATCTTCCCCCAAAGGCCAGGAAATGGCATTTCAGAGACTCTAGATTTAAAAATTTCTTCGGGCCTTCGGCCGTCGCTTTCAGCCCCCCAATCAAAAAGAGCTTCCTACGGCCCTGAAACGCTATGGAAACGACACTGTGTGGATTAATAGTTAGGATGAGGGGTCAAAAAATTTTCAGTAAAAAAAATAGGGGGTCATAATTTTTTATCAACTTTTGTCTTGGGGGTTCCAAGTTTTCGCGTGGAATTAGACATCAGTTCCTCCGGCCCACCCCCCCAGCTAAAAAATGAATGCTCCCTTATAGTTTCTATATAACTTTTTATACACACAATAATTTCAACCGATCAGGTGTTTCTGTTGTTATTCAGACTCCATATTGTAGTATGAATCGAAATCACATGGATCTCAGCATTTTCATAAAAAGTAAAACCATAATAATTGCCATAATAAGCCAGAGCTTAGAGGACTCTGGGTCTCTCCTCCGCAGAGGCACAGCACTGACAGCAGAGGCTTTAGTGAGATACATTTCACTACACTTTACATGGCGGATCTTGAAACACGAGCGTAGCCGCTGGGCGAAGGAGCGCAGGCGACTCAGCAATTTGAACTTTGATCCTTCGGCGGTTTGACTTTGGAACAAAGAGCTTATAGTGTAAACTAGAAATACATGCATGCAATAACCCCTCGCCTGTTTTCAAAAGATGTATACTCAGTGCCGTTGCGAGCACTTCGTCTCAGGGTGTGTGTGAGGTTAGATAGAGGGGGGTAGGGGGGTGACCAAAATGTTTCCAGATATACAAAACATTTTCAGGACATATAATAATTTTTCCGAAAATACAGTTGTTTTCCAAATTCACTTTCTCATGTCCTGAGAATTACCTGAATTCTCCTGAAAATCTTCTGCAAATCTACTTAATTTTACCTAACAGTGCACTGGAAATCTACCTGAAATTCCTTACGAGCAATTATCAGGGGTGTTGCACCCCCCCCCCAGTGAGTTCCAAGCAAACACTCTGTGATTTATTGTTCCTGTATTTCACCTCCCAAAATATTGTGCATCATACTATACAGCATTTTGCTGTTGTCATGCTCTAGCATGGTTCAAATTTATGAATTTTTATTATATAAAGTATAGTGTTTTACAGAGATTTCAAGCACTGATAAAAATGATAATCTCACATGTGAAATTATTCATGATAATCTCACATGTGAAAATTATCGCCTTTTCAATTATCGCTTTTCTGTAAAAATTATCGCTTTTCATTTAAGACTGTCCTTTATATAATAAACAGAAAAATACATGGGTGGTTGGAAATACCAGATTTATTTTTCGTGTTGAACATGACATCTCACTCGTTCGCTGCGCCCACTTGTTCGCTGCACACTCATGATCAACACTCGAAATAAATCTGGTATTTCATGCACCCATGTATTATTCTCTATTTAAACTACAACTTGACTGCATGGTTTAAATTATTATCAAGTTATCAGTGATTGTAAAAGTTGCAGATAGAAGTGCTTTGTTTTATATTATTATCTTGAGTTATCAGTGATCGCAAAACCTATATTTATAAAATATATATCTATAATCAGGTGTGCGGGTTGTGATAAGGTGGACTTCAATAATTTGGATTCTTGTACTTCACTTGTTGGAATTAATATTAGAATGTTAGGGTTTGTAATCCAAGTGAGCATATACACATTTTAAGACCTAACCAGGAACGACTGCGAAAAATGCAGCACGAGGTCCTCTGGTAGGAATTGAACCTACGGCCCTGCGATTCCGGTGCAGCGCTCTAACCAACTGAGCTATACAGAGGCCAGCTGTTGAGCTGTAACCGTAAGTTCATGTATATTTAGGTAATCGGGTGTGCGGGTTGTGATAAGGTGGACTTCAATAATTTGGATTCTTGCACTTCACTTGTTGGAATTAATATTAGAATGTTAGGGTTTGTAATCCAAGTGAGAATATATACATTTTACGACCTAACCAGGAACGACTGCGAAAAATGCAGCACAAGGTCCTCTGGTAGGAATTGAACCTACAGCCCTGCAATTCCGGTGCAGCGCTCTAACCAACTGAGCTAC